AGAGTGTTTACAGAAGGAAGGAGGTATGACTAATTCATCCACAGGTGTCAACTAAATGGAAAGCCTAGGAGCAAGTGGTGTAAATTTGATCTCCAGCCCAGCCATCCTAATAAGCAGAATGACCCGAAACAGGTACACAAGAGGGTCTAAATGAACTCCTTATTCCTTGCTGAAAAGCCAAGGAGTAAGCCAGGGAGTAAGCTGCAACTACTCTCTTCAGAAAAGGGAACAGTGCTGTAGGTAACCCACTGTCACTCTAACTAGGACAAGTGGAACTTCCAAAATGTTACCCCAAAGGTGTTGATGAAACACGAGAAAAATGTTGGGAACTTGCAGGACACCAAATGGAAGAAGCAAAGAAAGGGCAGGAGTCTAAGGACAGAAGAGAAAAATCTACTGAATAGCACAGAGATGATTAGAAGAAAATAAATCCTCAGTACGTTGCAGAATAGTACAAGTGGGCGAAAAGGACTGGAAAAGAAATATACAGGCGCAGGCATAAATTGGATGAGAAACACATTCAGAGAAAAAGGTCAAAAAAGATACACACACACAGTAATACAGAAAATCTGCATCCAAATATATTCAGCTCTATTATGCTACTGAATGTAAAAAACTTACAAGTTTATCTGCATAGCCTTACACTAACAATGCACCGCAATTCCTCCAAAATAACATGATAGCTTGAGTTTATTAAGCAGATTTAAAGTAAAATAAAACTTGTTCCAGCATGTGAGCACGTTAAAGTCAACCTGCTGCCTGAAAAAAATGCATTAGTGTAACATTCCTTCTAGCACTGTCAATGCCAAAACAATGTACAAAGGACATTTTCAATGTCGATAGTTAGGTTTATCATTATTTAATAATATTCATAATAAAATACCATAATTTCCCCCCCTAATCCCAATCTTCCTTTTTCTTCCTACATATGAATAGAATAAAAAGGTTTGAGAAGACCACCGGAACTAATCTACACATTTCTGAACAGAAAGCTTACAATATGTTTACTCAGTTTTGTGTGGTGTTTTACAAGTCAGTTTTGACATGGTATTTCAGTCCCTGTCCACAGTTACCATTCTTTTTGTTTATGTGCACAGAATTTTCAAGTCTTGAAGACTTTTTTATAATAAGTTTTCCAGTAATTATTTCATTGTGCAACTCTCAGTGCAATTCTTTTCCAGGACCCCTTTCCAGAATTGTATTTTAATTTCACGAACGTAGTCTTCTACAGCTGACAGAAAGGATACCATTGTGAAAAAAACATACAATCAGTACAAACAAAAAAATCTTCTTTCAAAAAGTAGGTCTGACATGTTCCTTGCCTCTTCTCTCACTATAGCCTAAAGATGAATCTTCCTTTAATGTACCATGTAAATGAAACATAAACATACTTTAAAATCATATATGAAGGTTCACAACATGCACGAGTTTTACCCCTGTGGAGTGCTCTGACTGCATAACGTGTGCCCCCCAGCAATGCAAAGCAATCCAATATAGCAGCCCAAAGCAATCTGTCCAGACCAGGGCACACGCAAAAGTGAGGAATTCCAGATTTAAAGTACTGCTGTAAAATCCTCTGGTATTAACAGTTAGCTCAAGACTCCAAAAACAAGGACACAGCCTGGTGCTCTTAACTGGTAACAGCCATAGGAGATGTTGAAGTTGTGTCATAGGAAGATGAGCCCTAAATTATTTCGGAGTATCTAGAAGACAGACCAAACACCCTTCCACTGTCTCTGGAGATGAAGCACGATTCAGTGCAGAATATAATGACACTTAAAGCAGCATCTAACAACAAGTAGCTTCATTCTATGCTAACATAATAATTAAGGGACATGCAAGTTTGGTGAGAGCTGCTGAAAAAGCAAGATCCCATAGGCGAGACTTTGGCAGCTCTGGGAACACCTTTAGGGAAATGCACTGTACCAGTACACTTGGAGCATACAATATTTAATGACTGTATTTTATACAGGTTCTATCAATGTACTGTCTTTCAACCATAGATGCATTTCTCCTTTATATTTAAAACATATCACCACAAACAAATTAATATTGCCAGGGTTAACTGTAGTAAAGAATCATAACAAAAAAAAAGGTGTCTTTTCGCATTTTTTATTATAGTTTTGGCTAATGGCAGTACATAAAACAGAATATAACAGATTTTTGTACGAAGAGCAAGCAATTTTTGCTACCAACTATAAAGCTCTGCAAATTCAAAAGTATTTTGACTCCTAAAATAACAACCGTTACAATGCTGTAACAGAAAAAGAATTGGGGCCCATTCAGGAAGCCACCAAACAACATCTACCTTTTGTCTCCAAGTCTTTCTTCTACCAGTAGTTGAGTTTGTCTGAAACAGAATCTGAGAAAGGTAGTCTCACTTTTCATGTCTTACCATGAAACTATTAATTACAAGACCATCACAAGGAAAGCGAAGGGGAAATAGACCTTCAGAGACATCAGGCCCACTACAAGTGATTGCCCCAAAGACTTGGGAAGAAGCAGCAATTAGCTGTCTTAAGTATTTCAGTTAAAAAGGCAAGTGCCATAAACTTGCTTTTTCCTATTCAAAAACAAAACAATGTAATGAAAATATTTCTCCTGCTAGAATTTGGAGATCAAAAATTATTTGCCTAAGAATCAAACAGAATACTTTATCCTGATCCAATATTTTAATAGATACATAATATTTCAAAGAATAAGACATTGCTAAAAATAATTCCACAGGTAGTGACCAAACAGCACTAAATGCATGGACAATCTGCGTTTGTTAGAAAATACAGGAAAAAACTATCAATCCAACATACACAGAGAGAGTTACATGTACAACCAGTCCCCCTTTGCATACATTTTAGATTTCACAGTTTTTCTTCAAGTACAGATTCATAGTACTATTGCAGCTTACCATACCCTACCAAGCTTATAGGTGAAAACACAAATGCCCCAGAGTTGCTCTCCTTGGCAAAGCGGACAGCATCTGAAACATGCTGTGTTCGAAACATTTAACAGAGAAATACCAGACAAATAGCTTAAAAGTGGACAGATAGTGCATTATCAGAAAAAAAAAAAACAAAACACAAAAAACAAAAAACAGATTTGTGGCAACTGAAGAACAGCATGAGACTTCACAAAGTATTCAATGACTTAAGCTTACAGTAAGTTCTTCTGGTAAATTTATGACAATTGATTCACAAAAATATATCAAAAGACTTAGAAATAAATAAGGTGTTGTGGAGTGTTTTCTGACAATACTGGCACATTACTTTGTTTCTACATGTTCTTTAGAAAAAGCAAGACAAGAACTCAGAACTGCATGTTTTTCCATCTAAATTTTATATGTAAATATTTGAAAAAATGGGACTTAACACTTCTGTGCATCTCAACATACAAAAAGTTCTCATTTTCATTTTTGTCAAGATTAGGGAAGGTCAAATGAATTGTGCAAAACTTCGAAAGTAATTGCTTTTGAGAAGAAAACTGGAGCTCTCTAGCAGAGAATTTTACTTCATATTTTTAGAAAGATTCAAATATAAAACAATTCATAAACAGCAGTTTCAGGCAGGTAAAAATTTCAGTTTCTTAGCAGGTTTATAGTCAATCTAGCCACTTAAGTACCACTGGAATTATACGTTAGCTGTAGAAATCCGATTAATTTTTTCAAAGAAGCATTAAAAAAATTTTAAAAGTCACAGCACACCTGAGCTCGAAGAAGAGAAAAAGACTGGAATTCTATCTATTTATTAGCTGTCCAGATACCAACATTTTGTAACAGATGAGATTAGGAAATCTGATTGCTGGCTTTACCAGAAGTAGTAGAAAAAAACAACCACTGTGTATCACTGCTCACCCTATCAGCAACCACCTGTGTAGCTGTATACTATAGCTGTTATTACGTACTGCAAATACAATACCAGATATGGCATGTAGTAGAAGCCCAGGCAAGCTAAGAACCAGTCTTCTTTACTATCTGTGTTAAGGAAAGTGACCTTGGCCTAAAAAACCCGAAGTTCATCAGAGTCACTTCCGAAGTAATACTGCTAACTCCATCTTGGAGCAAGGCCTTAAAATACAGTTTGCACTGATCCTGTCAGGCACAGATCACTTTTAAAAAAAGAGAAGTGTGCTAGTATATATTTCATACTACAATTAGCAATTAACAGTTTGCAATGCCCTAAAAATCGTACAAAAATACTCATTAGGAATTATAGAATTTTTTACGCATTTGGATATAAGAAACACCCGTGCATAGAAAACTACTCTTTGGGGTTTACCTCATTTAACAGTATCAGCATTAATCAAGTTTATTTGGCTACAGTAATGCCAGAAAATAGCAGGACTGATTTGTGCTGACCTACAAGAAACTCTTAAAAATTATCTGCAATAGAGAATAGATTTTAGGCAAACAATAAAGAACATACAGCCCTCAAGGTTAAATCTGAAGGAAATAATGCCTGTCACATAAAATACAGTGCACCCCTGAAACAGGCATTTCCTCTTATTTCTTTTGTTAAGACACAAGGCATGCTTGAATTTTAACTTGATACTTGCAAGGGGCAAGGAAATCATCTGCACTGAGAAGAGACACAAAAAGGGCTACTAGTCTCACAGACACACACCTGTAAACACTACAAAAAATATAAAATTAACCTTGCAGGGATCCTTAAGAGAGGTGACTATTACATGACACTGAACAAGGTATCATTGACAGCTGTTTATTTCTAAACGTAACATGAAGTTAAAAGCAGGGAGCTAATAAGCCATATTAAAAAAAAAATTATCTAATGCTATATCAGGCTACAGAAGTTTCAATGTCTATTTTGTATCCCTAATACAATGGGAAATTGAAAATAAGATTAATATAAGAATTACTAAACAAAACCAAAGTCAAATGTGTATAATATATAAAATAGAACTGACTACATGTTATGAAACACATATCACAAGAGTTACCACAATGCATTTCCATGTTAAACTCTAAAGCAGACTCCAAGTCACATGTTGAGCAAAAGGCATCCTTTCTGGTATAACACCACTGTAATTCAACTCCAGAAAGTCTCCTTTAAGTCAGGGTATAAAGTAATCTAAAAGCAAGACAGAAAAATACAATTCAAGTTCAGCTATCTTACAGTTACAAACCTGAAAGAACTGCACACATTTTAGAAGTCACTGTGAAACAATGACTTTATCATGAGTTTGAGAATCACCTGTTTACATTAAAAGACTCCTACCATGATTCTTGCCAGCATATGTTGTACTGACGTTCTCGAAAATTTTAAAATACACACACCCCCAGACCCCTCCACACTGATGTTTAGTTTGGCTCCAAGCCATTCCACTTCACAAACAGCAGTTAAACCTTAAAAATTAAAATTAAGATTTGAAACCTATGCAAAGCCATCTTGTAAACACTTTTCCCAAATTTCCTATTACCAACCACAATAAATGGTTTTTCTCTTGGCTATTCGAACATCTTACCAAAGACTTTATACATGGTGTCCATGAACTGCACTGCTATCTCCTTCTCCACTTTGCATCTGCATCTGCATCTGCGCCTGCATTTTCGCAATCATCTCTTGCATACGACGAAGCTGGAAAAGTAGCACAGAAGCATCCTGTAGCCTAATCTCACCTCAGAATACGAGTTTTTGCTTCCACCACACTATTAATTATTTATATTAAAAAGGGAACACATATCTGCATTATCTTTATCTGATAGGTAACAATCAGGTTATGGTAATAATCTCAGGTTATGGCATCTTCTTCTACTGCTCTTCTTCATCCCTCAAGAGGCTGGAAATTTACTGACTGAAATAAGCAGGCTTTATTATTGCAATCTGGGATGATATTTTTAAGCATCCCTAAATGGAAGTCTCTACTTCCTCTGATGTTAAATGCATAAAAATGATAATGCTGAAGTGCTGAACAAATATTTACAGTTACTAAGGCTTATCACCAGAAGAAAAGCAGCTTGTTTATGTCCCTCCAAACTACACCTGTATCGGTCACTAAAATAAATTGTCCAGATTACTTCACAGCTCCCTTGCCAGTGATGACTATGTGGAAGCAAGTATTACAGACAAACCATCCAAGGAGACCTACATTTAAACACAGGGTAATCATGTAACTCAGCTATGAAGATTAATTCAGCTATGTTGCATGTATAATACTTAAATTCTTTTATTGTACCCAGCTCTGACAGGTGGGAAGCCAGTCTCACTACTGAAATATTGCTGGGTGTCTTTGCCTTTGTGCACTTTAAACTCAAACTACACTGTTAAGCTTAATGACTGTTGGCGTGGGTTACGGATCCGTTGTAACGATGTGACCCCAATATGAGTATGATCGTTCACCCTTATTAGTCAGCAAAAACAAGGTTTATATAGCAAAACTATTACAGCATCTGAATGGTTAAACCCCTAATCCATATATAGGCAAAACTACTGCAACTCGTTGCAATTGGTGCAGAGCTGCATCTCGATGTGAAAACAGTACTGTGGCAGGAAACAGCAACGTGGCAGGAAGGAAGTGACAGTGTGGCAGGAAACGGTGACGTTCCCCCTGCTCCAGTGTCCCGAGCTCATCGCTCTGTCTTCCCAGCAGTGTTCCGTGTCAGCCGCTCCCCAGGCTCACTTCTGGATCGGAACCTGGGTTGCTCAACGCACCAAGCTATGTCACCTCTCGTCCAGCCAGGACTCCACAAATGACAAGTTAAACCCGTAAAATGTTTATTCTTTTTTCATACTCCTTGAAACAATGACCCTCTTCATTTTTACTCTAGTTATATTTTGGGACTTGGATAGCCACGAAGACCACTAATAGAAGACTGAACGTCTGCTTGTGCTAGGACAGGCTAAAAAGTCCATCTCACTCAGCCTTCTCTCAAACACTGGCTAGGAGCAAATGCATGGAAGAGCCTAACAGCTAGGTGCACACAGCCAGTATTTCCTGACGTATGCTCTCAAACTCTAGACATCTGTCAATTCTGAACTTGCTAAACCAAAAAAATCTACCTTTGTGTTTAGTGAGGACATTCATGGAGAAAATAAAACTCTCCAGTCTCTCAGCATTTTTGAGCTTATCTGCATTCTTGCTATGCATAAAATTCCATGCTAATGAGTTCCACAATTGACAGACTATCTTAAAAGTATCTTTTATTTGAAATCAGCCACCTATTAATCTCACTAAATGTGAGCTGTTTCTTGTGTAGTAGATTCCCATTTATCCTGCCATCTATGATTATGTAAGCCCCTTACTGTATCTTTTCCCTCTGTCATCTGCTTCCCAACCAGAACATTAACCTGATTTCCCCTTGTACAGGACCCGCTTCAGATCTCCACTTCAGCATTTCTGCCCACTTTTTGCTATTCACTGTACTTTTTCTAGTCTTGGCTATATCCTCTTTAGGTTACGGGGACTATGAAAACAGTCTTACAGCTATGCATTATGGATTAATCATAATGGCAGAATGAGAATTTCTGTTTCATTCTTTATTCCTGACAATCCCTACCATTGTTCCTTCCTTTGCAGCTGAACTGACTTTTTCCCAGCCTGCAGGTGCTAACTTTAGAACCTTTCCTCATGTGTGGATGGCTCTCCCTCCCCAAACAACGTGCATTACATCCACTGCTGACTAGTACAATGGAATCAGGCATTCTACCAGATTCCACTTGTTCCCATAAATCACTATCCTGAGACTCCTCTACATTGTGTTTTGTTAGTGCACCTTGAATAACTTTATATTAGCAAATTCTGTCTTCTCCTTTACAAATTACCAACATCATATAACATCATTTGACCTAAGTAGCAATACAATAATAAAAATTCCCTCATCACAAGAGTGCAGAGTTCTGTCATCTTACTTCAGCTTCTTTTTCAAGCAGAATCTGGTCTTTATTTACTTCTTCATCTTCTATTTTCCTAAAATGAGATTAATATTGTTCAATAACATGCATACATCTCAGATTTTGAACTTCCAGAGAACGCTTTGTTGACAAAATCAAGGCTCTTAGAACACATCTTGAACGTCAGAATTTCATGATACAAACAAAATTAAATACTTTCCCCATATAACTGCAATTGATGTTTTGATTTTTAAATAATTTTTAAGACACCAGTTTATCCCTTACTCCTTCATAAAGTTATGACCAGAACAAGTATAAACTTCAAAAACCATTCTAGCTATAACTTTAACACATGACAGATCTTCGCATGTAGGTATCAATGAAAACTATTTCTGGACAGTATTCAAGTGTAACAGATGACCTGAGCAGAACATTATCTCAGCTGATTGCAATTTGAGTACCCAACAGACATAGCAAATTCAGAAACACTGCAAACATATACTCAATTCTTCTCTTGTATTGGTGCAATAAATCAATACAACTAAATCAAAATATAAGTTCAAGGTAATGCTGGACAAGATGTTAACAGAAATATGGGAGCAACATGTAAAATAACCAGTGCTCTAAGAAATTCTGTATCTGGAAACCTGGCTACCTCCAGGCAGAACCTTCCTTTGAAGCAGTTCTAGCCCATCTCTAACTTCATGAACCATGTTTGCTACCAAACATCTAAAAGGCTCTTAACTAAAACCATAGAAGTAACACAACCACCGTACGTTCTGGAATCCTTCCAGTTAGAGGAGCTCTTTATCCACTTAAGACTTTGAACTCTGATTATATTTCTAGTATAGTCACTTTTGGTTTTGCAAGATTTCTTTTGTATAAACATGTTAAAGTATAGTACAAACATTTATCACTCCTGTCAAAATTAAGCAAATCCTTTCCATCACTATCTAGCAAACTCTTGATTAATGGCACGTTCCAATTTTACATTGAGAAAACAAATATAAGCCTCTAAGAACGTTAGTGAATACACTCAACAAGCACTAATTGCCAAGCACTGTCCCTGGGTTAGGTGCAAGTTCAAAATAAATTCACACACAAACTACCCTCCATTATGATAAACTTAACTACATTCTAGCACCACTTCAGAAATGTGAAACAAAGATATATGGGCCACTTAACTAGAAAAGATACAAAAACATGCTTTACATTCACAAGGAAAGATACCCCAATTTAACAGCAACTTAATGTCACAGGTCCTTGGCAGAAGCAACTTTAAATCCTCTAAAAATTGGTAAACATTATTTTAACTCTGGATGACCTTAGGTTCCATTACTTCTAAGACCTTTGTACATTCCTGTTATTCAACAGGTACCAGAACTTAGCAAAAATATTTTTTTTTAGCTTGAACTTCAGAAGACAGGATTTAAAAGTCAGGGGAGAAAAGCGTATCACCTTGGCTGAAGGGAAAACTGGACTCGTAGGCCAATGCTAGACAGACACAAACTCTTTTTCCTGAAAACTGACTAGGCATATGACAAAACCTCAACAGCATGATGGAAAAAGCTTTGCAAAATATATCAAACCCCCTGAAACGTGCAATTACGAAACCCTCTAGTGGTTGAAATAAAAGAAGCAACTGAAAAATCTAAATCAGGACATACCCGGTTTTCAACAAGAACTGACAAACTCAACTTTGCAAACCCTGCTATTTTAGTTAAAAATGGGGTGTTCTGTCTGTATCTCTTACCAGGAAAGCTGTGCCCTACCCACCACAGCTCAAAATAGGGCTGAAAGACATTATCCTGCGAATGCTATGCAAAGAAAATTATTTATGTAAACCATGCTTAATAAAGGACTGCAGAAGGGCTTGAGGTTCTCTTTTTAAAGACGCAGTCCAAAGATCCCAGTAATTAATTCCGCGAAACCCCCTTTTTTAACACATCAGCACTGACCTAACTTGCAGATTTTTTAAGACAACATTTATCATAGACATCTGCCTGCCTGCCTTACCTCAAACACTCCAATCCAACGGGGTTCAAGACTTAAAACAAAGCAGAGATCCAACTATACCCTTTTAATGCCACAACTGTCTCTTCAGATTTACATAATACTTTTTCTTATACTCAGTGTAAGCTGGTTGACTGAACTTGGTGCTAACTGGAGCTACACAGCTGTCCATGATCTACCAAGTCCTAGCAATGAAATGGTAGGAAAGACAGAGAGAGAGAGAGAGAGAGCAAAAAATTCAGAAGACGAAGGAACAGCATGTAACCATAAGATGCCAACCTGCCGCCTCGTTTCAGCCTCTCAGAGCGGAAGTTCTCATAGTGAAGATCCTGGGTCACCTCCTGAAGATCTTGCATATGGGTGCTGCAGGAAGAAAATAATTGAAAGATAAAAAAAACCTGTGCCACGTCAGCTTGCTTAACCAACTCTCACATTCAGCACTGTATTGAGTCAATGTGTCCATCACGTACACCCTTATTTAACATGTTAACAGAAGAGCTAATTTAAGTTAAATCGGTGCAATAAAAGACACGCAGAGAGACCACCTCAGACCCTGAGGCAGCCCTGACATAATCTGTCCTCCTGGGTGAGGTGTTTGATGAAGCAGTGCTGGGCAGGGGAAGCACAGTAGCAAAGCCTGGAAAAAAAAAAAAAATCAGTGGACTTTTGAAGTCTGCTCCTTTACAGATATCTACACATAGATATATTTAAATAAGCACAAGGTGTGAAGCAGTCTGTTTTATGTTCCTGGGGATGTGAACAGCAATACAACACTGTTCGGCAAAAGAATTAGACAAAGGTTTATTTTCACAGAATCACTAAGCAATTCAGATTGTAAAGAACCTATGAAGCCTATGTGGTCCAATCTCTGCCTAGGCCAGCTAGATCAAGGCTGCTCATGGCCTTCTCCAGACAAATTCTGAATGTCTCCAAGGATACCAACACCACTCCAAACCTCCAATACAGTGTTTGAGTATCTTCCTGGTGATTGATTTTTAAACTACCATTTAATTGGAATTTTCTAACTTACATTAACATGGTCCTCAGCTTCAGGAAGTCATTATGTTCTGGATTCTCCACTTCAACTACACCCCATGGATAGAGTCGACCTCTAACTTTTTTACCCTTGGCTTCAATCAGTTGATTGGATCCCACTACACAAAATGGAATGCTGGCCTAAAAACCAAAAAGGCAAAAATTACTAATAATGAACCAGAACAAACAACTCCAAGAACAATTCTTGCTCCGCTCAGCACTGCATATTATGGTAGAAAGTTTAGAATGCTTTTAATCTGAAGATGTAAAAAAAAAAAAAAAAAATCATTGTTGCCACCATCTTCCAGATAGGGAAGCCTGGGCATAGAGACACAGTGACTCACTCAAGGTCCCATCGCAGGTCACAGTATGTATCTTGTGCTAAAGCCACCTGAGCAGTCTGAAAAGATACAGTATATTATCCAAATATGTAGCCTATGAAGCCAGTCATACCTTCAGGAGTCTGGTCTGTTCTTTAAAATCTTCATCCTCATCTGATTCAGCATCAGGCAGGTGATAAATCTTGATGCCATGCTCTTCTATTTCATCCAGAATCTGAGATTTATAACATAAGACATTAAGATAATATACATGTAAAGTCTGTACTTTTAAATCTTAAGGTAAAATTACTTAACCAGTTATACAGATTCTCTTGAGAAATTTGGGCCCATCTTACTGTTCCAAATTACTTGACAAGTGTTTGGTTTTAAACACCGTATTTCTTCATGAAATCTAACAACTACTTGTCACAGACATTCAGACAAACAATGGGGTTCAAATAAACACTGTCCTGTGTGGATTACACATAAGAAACTGAGTTTTTAAACCTTTGCAATTTTTTTTTTTTAATTATGAAGCATTGACTCAGAAGTCATAATTGCTTTGAACAGCCTAAAACTCCTTGCTCTTGCCTCTGAATTACTATTTGGGAGGTAGGAGTGGGAGTGTTTAAAAACCTAACTGAGCTACAGACAGGACAAATACTTTTTTCTGTCTTCATGATTGCTAGGAATTGCACCTACAGCTGGAATCCAGTTGCCATAAACACAAAATTTGCTCGCTGAAAAAACAAACAAAACCACCTTTATTTCTGCAGAATGCTAGCACGGTAATATATATCAAACTAAAGTATACTTCTCTATTTTTATTGCAAGTTGGGTAAGATAACTATAGATTTTCAGAATAACTGAAAAAATCACAGACAGTTTTAAATATAACAGCTAAGACTGAATCAGTTGTGCCTTCAGGCAAGTTAATTCTAAAAATCCTTTAAAAATTTTTAAACCCCAAAATCAGAAAAATCTCTGAAAATCCTATTTTTCAAACATCAGAATTCTGACTGACAAAAAAATACATGCACATTATAGATGCAGATAATGTCTCCGCTTTGTGACTGATTAAACAGGTAAGGGAGCAATTACCATTAGCAAATGCGTTTAAATATTTTGCCAAAGTTTAAAAATTCACTCATGATGTAATTGTAAATGCAGCTAATCTGCCATTTTCCAAGCAACATTTTAAGGACAATTTCGCAGTGAAATACATAATAAATGAATTTACAAGATATCAAACTATGTATTAAATAACGTTACACTGTGCATGAGATTCTTTTTCTCTTGGCTAGGACAGAGTAAGGTTGAACAAGAATGCGCCTCTCTTTAGTGATCATGCTGCTATAACCAAAGTACAATATTTTTCTGCAAGCTAGAAAAACACTTACCCTTTTCTTTAGTCTTTCTCGCTCTTTCAGAGAAAGCGTATCAGCTTTTGCAATCACTGGTACAATATTTACTTTGTTGTGTATGGCCTTCATAAACTCAACATCCAGAGGCTTAAGGCTAGAATTAAATTATGAAAAAAGTTAAATTTATTTTTAATCTAAATTACCAATTTATTTTCACACCAACGTTGGTATCTCTCCTTACACAGAAAGAACGCACTCAATTAATTCCAACAGCTCTAGTACTTCCTTAAGTAATGGAAATCTTGATTCTGAAAATTTAAGTCAACGGGCACAAACCAACTCCCCAAAGTAAAATTATTTAAGAAATAAAATGACAGAGAAACACCTACCCATGACCAAATGGTGAAATGAAATAGAAGCAGCAATGAACTCGGTTATCTATGATATGCCTTCTGTTCAAACCACTCTCATCATGCAGATATCGCTCAAACTGCTCATCAATGTAAGAGATTATGGTCTTAAAACTGTAAAACAAATATGGATTCAAGAAACCATGCTCGTTCCCAAATGGTCAATGTAATATTAAAACACCAAGACATCCTGCTGACAAACAAAAACTTAATTTACTGGCGCTGTAAGACTGTAAGAGTAGAAGAGCATAAATCTTAAAATTTTACTTGAATTCTAGAATAATATATAAAAAAAGTGTAGTAGTTTATTAAGATAAAATATACATAAATATAACACACATTTTAACTTCTACAGCAAGTGTCTCTTGGGTTAGTATTTATCTTTTGACTAGTATTAATTACACATGCTCAAGATAACCTAAGCTTCTTGTTCCAAGTTGATTTAAAATCACAGAATGGTTTGGATTGGAAGGACATTTAAAGATCACTTAGTCCAACCCCCTTGCCATGGGCAGGGACATCTTTCAGTAGGCCAGGTTGCTCAAAACTCTGTCCAACCTGACCACGCGCACTTCCAGTGATGGGGCATCCACAACTTCTTTGGGAAACCTGTTCCAGTGTCTCATCACCATCATTGTAAAAAAACCTTCCTTCCTTGTGTCCAACCTAAATCTACTTCAGTTTAAAACTGTTGCCCCTTGCCCTGTTACTACAGTACCTGGTAATGAGTCTCTCTCTCTTTCCTATAAGCCCCTTATATATTGAAAGGCCTTAGTAAGTCTCCCCAGAGCCTTCTCTTCTCTAGGCTGAACGACTCCAACTCTCAGTCTTTCTTCACTGCTGTTCCAGCCCTTAGACCATTTTCTTGGCCCCCCTCTGGACATACTCTAACAGGTCCATGTTTTTCTTGTGCTGGGAGCCCCAGAGCTGGATGCAGGTCTCCTAAGAGCAGTGTAGAGGGAGAGAATCACCTCTCTCAGTGTGCTGGCCACCCTTCTTTTGATGCAGCCCAGGATACAAATGGCTTTCGGGGATGCAAGTGCGCATTGCTGGCTCATGTCCAATTTTTCATCCACCAGCATCCCCAAATTCTTCTCTGCATGGCTGTCTCAACCCATTCATCTCCCAGCCTGTATTGATATTGAGGAATTTCCCTAACCCATGTGCAGGACCTTGCACTTGGCCTTGTTGAACTTCACGAGGTTTGCATGGGCCCACTCCTCAAGCCTACCAAGGTCCCCCTGGATGGCATCCCTTCCTCTAGTGAATCAACTACACCACTCAGCTTGGTGTCGTCAGCAAACTTGCCGAGGGTGGACTCAATTCCACTACATCATTGATGAAGATATTAAACAGTATTGGTCCCATTAACAACCCCTGAGGGACACCACTCATTACTGGTTTCCACTTAAGACTTCGAGCCATTGACTGACTCTTTGGACACAGACATCCAGCCAATTCTTTATCCATCTAACAGTCCATCCATCAAACCCGTATCTCTTCAACTTAGAGGCAAGAATTTTATGGAGGACCATATGAAAGGCCGCACAGAAGTACAGTTAGGTGACATCAGTAGCTCTTCCTTTATCCACTCCATCACAGAAGGCCACCAGATTAGTCAGGCACAAATTACCCTTGGTGAAGCCATACTGGCTTTGTCTAATCACCTCCCTGTCTTCCATACATTTCAACATATCTGCCAGGAGGATCTATTCCATGATCTCACCAGAAATGGAGGTAAGGCTGACTCGTCCGTAGCTCCTAGGGTCCTTTTTACCCTTTTTAAAAATGAATGTGATGTTTCCTTTTCCAGTCACTGCTGACTTTGCCTGACTGCCATGACTTCTGAAATACGACGGAGAGTAGCTTGGCACCTACATCTGCCATAGATAACTTGACGAGATGGGATGCATCTTGTCAGGTTCCATGGACTTATGTATGTTCAGGTTCCTCAGGGGGACTCAAACCTGATCTTCACTTACGATGGAAGGGATTTCATTTCCCCAGTCCCTGCCTTGAGAGAGGTGGGAAGAGGGATTACCATTGAAAACTGATTGCCATTGATCTCAAGATTATTTCTCAGTACTTACTGTAATGTAAATTTCTCAAAAAACCCCAAGCAATCAAACCCAAAGATGATGAAAATGCAGAATCTGAGAACACTCAAATGTGGAAAAGATCTAAAAGAGGATTTTTACTTGCACTAAAGACTAGATGAATTACTTTCTCAGAGTATTGTTAACTTTCTGAACTATGTCCCAATGGTTCTGTTGCCTTCTGAATGTAACAGAAATCAAGGTCACTGTTCACTTAAAACTCTTCCAAACTTAATGAAGTTAACTAAGAAAATAATAAACCAAAATATCTGTGTCACAATTTATTTCAAGTTCTGTGTGGAAGTTATTGATGCCCCTTTACAGCTATGTGAATGAACTCATGACACCTGAATTAAGCTTCCTTAAAATTAGAAAAAACATCCATCTCTCCAAAAATCAGATCTCAAATTCAGCACTTCACATAACACACCAAAAAGAGGGATACTGATTTAACATTACAATCACTTTGAATCACCTTTGGAATGGAAGGGTTTAAAAGAGCTAGGGCCACCTTGCTTTGAACTGCATATCATCATTAATATAGCCCCACTTCAGTTACTTATTCCCCCCCCCGCCTTACCCCCAGAACAAATACGAAATGGATGTCAGTTGTCATACATAGATCAATATATATTCTGTGTACATACCAGTCTCGACAATTGATAGCATCCCCATATCCTGGTGTATCTACAACCGTCAGACGTAGTTTCACACCCCTCTCTTCAATCTCAACTGTTGAGGCTTCAATCTGCACAGTGCGTTCAATCTTCTCTAAAAGACAATAACCTATATTTCAGATTACAATTTATAAGACTACGTCACTTTGAGATATACATAATGTAGAAACTAAGGCAAAAGGGACTGAGAAAAAACTGTAGGCAACCAGCAATCTGGAGAACAATACCAAATTATACGCAATGGATTTTTTTCCTAAGGTTGAAAGTGATAAGTAATTGTCAGCTAATGTTATAAATTGTTAAAGCAAGTCATTCAACAAGTAGCAAAGAGGGAAAAAACCAGCATCTTCCTCTATTTTCTTACAATATTCTCTTTTGCTGAATTATTGTATGCCTTGGTTAACAGAATAAAAAACAGACAAGGGACTCCAGAAGAAAAGCAGGTGAAGTTCACACTCATCAAATGTCAACCCAAAGCAAAGGAATCAAGTTGCAAGTCCAAGCAGGCATAAACAATGCATATGTTTAGAATTGGAATAGATTAAAAATTAAACAAATTTTCTGATTGTTTTAGTTGATTGATTATCTTGGTGTGACACTATGACTTTTCTTTAAGCAAAAGAAGGGATCAACTTTCTAGGTGCCAACATGAATACACCCGATGACTAAACAACAAAGACCCCATATACATCCTGGGTAGAGGAGGAACCAATTCTATTAAACCGTTCAAGTATCATTAGAAATTATTACAGCTAGAAATCACTACTGGTTGTTACTAAAATCGAAAGATAAAAGCATTCAACTCCAAAAATCGCGAAGAACACAGAAACAAGTTGTGTGTTTACCAGCAGCTCCTGGGATTATCCTTTCTGGGTAGAGATCTGTCAAGAAGAGGCTGTTTATTAATGTAGATTTTCCCAATCCAGATTCACCTGTGATTAAAGATAAATTCAACATATTTACATAATTAATTTCAATTGTATCCAGACAATATCACCTGACTATACATTTTTTCACGTTAAATGTAAATCTTTTAATTGTGATTTAAAAATTTACAGCTTAGAATTTTGCATTAGAAAAGTTTGCACAAAGATGCTGAACAACAATTGTTATATCTCAGCTTTATAACACTTTCTCAGAGCTTTCACTGATAATTTGTAATTAAATCTGCCAGTCAAGTGCAGTTCTGATCAATTTAGGCTTAAAACTTCCTATTTAATATCTCCTGATTTTTTAAGGTGTGATTTTCTGCTGTCACTCCACAATGTGAAAGATCATATACAGTGAGAAGCTAGATCCTCCCTAGGCTACATCATCAATTTAAACAACAAAAAAGGCACTGCTGAACTTCTGCATAGTCAGTCATCATAAAGTGAGATTTGTTTCTGCTTTTCATGCTAATATGGCGAACAAGAACCCAAGGGAAGAGGAATATGACATGGACACGGAGCATACGCATAGAGCAATTTTTTCACTGATGAAACTGGGGATTACCAAAGTATACCATAAATATATTTTTGTTCTAGGGCTATTGACTGAGCCATGAGGAAAATTCAAAAGCCAACTAACTAGCTAAAGATCAAGATCTTCATCAGAACAAACATTCACAGCATAAAAAAGACCAGCAACTTGAAGTGCTCAGTACTCCAATTCACTGAACAATCCCTTTTCTAGAATTCTTGTTTTATTTCCGGTGTTGACAGAATGAATTTAAAAATTTAGATGTTAAAAATGATGGGCCACATGATCCCTCTAAATACCACAAACTATTCTGCAATAGGAGTCTGACAAAAATATCCAAAAAAAAAGAAAAGCAATGGAATTATTTTTTTAAGTAAAGATTTGACTAGGAGCTGCCAATTTTTAATGCCTGATAAAATGAATCTCTTGAGATCAGACTTTACCAGCGCAGCCTTCACCAGTGAAAGAAACATGCAGCCAGAGTAACTCAACAGTCACAGGGCATCACTTCAGCAAAACAAAAAATAGTATTATTTTAAACAGTGGCACATTCTATATTACATATAAAACAAATCAGTTTTTATAGTCATTGTCAAGGATTAGTGAAAAGAGTAGTTATTTTAGCTACTGGCCACAGTAGTTAGACTTCAGTGACTCTCAAGTGAAATTACTATTTAAATGAATTCATAGCTTAATAATGAGAATGAACGTGAAATTGTTACTAAACACAAGTGGTTAGGATTCCTTTGGAAGCAACACAGCCAAGAAGCCAAATTGTTATAAACCCCAGCTCATATTTTCACAAACCACAATAAACAATAGCAGAAAAAATGCGAAGAAGAAAAATCATTGATTAGGACTTTGTCAGGGCAGATAGCTTTTAAAGAAACATTCTCCTGTGCAGAAATTAAGAAGCATGGCAACTTCATGAAGAATAATAGTTCAGTACAGGCGTTGTAATATAGCCCACAAGAGAACATACTTAAAACCCATGCATATTTCAAAAGAAAGAATGCACATGCCAAACTGTTGAAATAATCAACAATTTAAATCACAGTTTATTTTATCTTACATCGACTGCCTCCCTCTGCTAGTGTATCTTAAAATATCATTGCAAATTTTCAGTGAAATTACTTTTCTTCAAATTCTCTTCCCCTTTATCCCTTACAATACTCGCAGGCAACAACTGTAAAGTTAAATTTTACTCTGAAAAATGGGTCAGATTAATTGCGTTTCTGTTACTCTGACACCATGTCACTTCCCCCCTGTTTTCTATTTTACAAGAGGCTAGAAACAACTGTTTGGTCTATGTAATTTTACATAGATTTCTGCCAGAACTATTTCACATGGTACTATTTGCAATTAATCTCAAATACATCTGAAAATTAAGTTCAGCTGCAGCAGAGAAAGCACATCTTTTGTTTCTCAGAACTGTTCAGATTTTTAGGATCACTCAACAGTAAATTCTGAATAGTTCCAGTAGATACGAGAATGTGAAACATCTGCTTATAGTTTGGCTTTACCCTCAGATTTTATAAGATATCCATTATGATATTATCCTAAGCAAATCCAATGAAAGATACAGTAAGCAACTATGATAGAATTCTAGGAAGACAAAAATAAGGGCCAACTCTGTCCAACACTCCACTACAAAAAACAGAAACAGGATAAAAGCAATGTTAGGGCTGTCATTTGGCAAAACTAATGAGAGGTTGGAGGACAGACACTTTCTGTAACTACTGGAATCCAAAACAATTAAGAACTTAAATACCTCCTATCATGTACCATACTGCCCAACCTCTCCTGCTCATTTCCACTGTGACCTCTCTTGGACAAATGTAACACACAAATGGGATTTACTTCTTGTGACGCCAGGTAACAAAGAACCTAATGCTATTAGAGTAGTTTTTGCAAAAGCCTATTTTAAAAGCGAGAATTACAGAACTCAAACACCAAAACCCAGAAGTTATAGCTCCCAAGCACTATGACTAAGAGAGATAGAGAAGATGCCCAAGCCTGACTTGGGAGCCTATTTAATCTGCAAAAATTAACACCAGCTTCTGAGAGAATCAAGGTATTTCTGCAGACACACTAGATTTTTCTTTCCATTCCAGATACCAACACAGATTCTCAATGAAATATCGAATAGAATTAAACTTTAAATTACAGTTTTCAATAGAAAATCAAGATAAATTTAAAAAGTAACAGCTCACAGCAAAACCAACTAATCAAATTCTCATTCTTCTCCTACAAGAGTATTTAGAAGGGGTGGAAAGACCAGAGTTCATATTCTTTTGAACTACAGAAGCATAAAGAGCATTTTAAATAGAATAGTCTCATTAGCACTGTTCTCTTAATCAAGACATGCAAGCAAAGGTTGTATTCAAATGCAAAACCAGTTTTAAACTATATTTTAAATGGAATGCTTGAATCTGGTAAGACAGAAGAGAAGGAAGGAAGTAATGATCACTGGAACGCACAACAGAATTTCTTCACCCACAAACTTATTAATGTATTCAAACATGGCTTGTAGTGTGGAGAACAACTGCTGCATGAACTAAAAGAGGTCAGATTTAGATTAGATATTAGGAAGGAATTCTTCACCATGAGGGTGGTGAGGCCCTGGCATAGGTTAACCAGAGAAGCTGTGGCTCCCCCTCCCTGGCAGTGTTCGAGGCCAGGTTGGATGGAGCTCTGAGCAACCTGGTCTGGTGGAAGATGTCCCTGCTCATGGCAGGGGGGTTGGAACCAGATGATCTATAAGGTCCCTTCCAACCCAAACCATTCTATGATTCTACGCATTAATAAACTGTAAAAGAATGTTAAATGCTACAGCACAGAAGAGCTTTCTGATGCAAACTGAAGCCTTACAACAGTGGAAGTAACTTTTTTTATTTTAATTCCCAATTCCCTGTGAGCAAGTACTAATTTTGAGAAAGACTATAACATGTTTCCTTACCAACCACCATAAGAGTAAATTCAAACCCCTTTTTCACAGACTTCCGGTGAACCTGATTGGGAAGGTTTGCAAATCCAACATAGCCAGGGGTTTCTGGATTGGTAAACTGAGCAGGCTGTTGCTAAAAATAAAATAAAACAAAATAAGACAATAGTAAGCCACCACTCAAGGCATACTTGTTTAACTGCTTTCCTCAGTTATTTCAAATGGTTTGAAGCTACATGACATCTAGAGAGAAAACTACACAGGTGTTTGTACTACTCAACAGTTTCACAGTGAAGTACAGAACAACTGCATTCGCCTGGAGTTTAAAAAAACAGTTTCATTTATTCAGCTATCCAGCCAAGATTACCTTAAGTTAAAACGAAACAAAACCCCAAACAGTTATTGAAGTATGAAGTGCATTCACTAATCACAGACTTTTTAAACAGTGTCTCCACACACATTCAAAATAAAAAAGCTTGTGTCCCATGTTCATGGACATAAATAAAAAAAGTGGTTGCTTCTAATCCATCATTAGCACATCCAAATGAAAACCCTGAACAACTAGCGAAACGATAGTGATCTGCTGGAAGCCCTCTTTAGACATCTCTTTTAAAGGAGGTGGGGAGGCAGATTTACACAACAGTGTTTCAAATGCTCACTACTACAAGTACTGCAGAGAAATCTTTAGATCTACTAGTTGCTTTCTTCAAACACATTACTCAAGTACCCTTATCATTCACTTTACTCCAATAAGCTAACATGGATGTTTTACTCATTATACCAAATGCAGAGGACCAAGAATTAGAGGAATCTCCAGCATGTCAATAACATTTTAAGTTACCACATTGTTTATGAAGGATTTTACCAGAAGATCAGTTGACTCTATCAGTAAATGAAGAAATTAAATCTAAGAACATTCTTTTCTTAAAAGATTCCTCCTCAAAACACAGTAGCAGAATGGAAGCTTAGTGAAAATGCAGCAGGGAGCTTGTATGCAACCCCATGACCAAAATTCAGTCCTTCCAAGAGTATTAATTGACTGCAGAGGTTTATACTTGTAGGAAACTAATAACTTCCATCACTCCATCTTTCAATATTATTATTTTTAGCATACACATCACCATCAAACACAAGTTACACATTCTACCCTTGCAGATTAATATTTAAAATCAAAACATCTGTTTCATGTTGTTACACTGGAAGACACAAAATGCTGTTCTTACCTTGGACATTTTTATGGGAGGTCAGGAACAAATCTGGAAAAATAATAATGTTTTTCAGTTTATTAAAAATCATATGAGAAAAAAAAACCCAAAACAAACCCCACAAAACAATATAACATCCACTGTTGCATGCAAAATGAAAAAAGCAGCATTTTCAATTAGATGTCCAGAGTCTGAAACAGTGTCAATAGCTTCACAGAGTACAAGTATTTGACTCTTCAGTATAAAGAAGGGGCAGAATTTTCAGCAACCACTGTTCCTATTAGCATCATTTGGCAATAAATTCAAGCAACATGAATGTGGGGTGCTAGATATATGACAAACCATTTTGAAGCCTGACACAGAAAAGTTCACATCCTTTCCGGAAACCAACCAAACCAAACACAGTGCTTAAAGACATCTTACTATTTACAGGAAACTGTTTTTTGAGAGCTAAAAAAAACAACTCGTGAATTATCTTTCCTTTTTAAGCCTCATTCTCCTCATGCTCAAGTGTTCTGTAAAGAGTTGACAGCTTCAAAATGCAACATTTTCTCCTCCTCTTTCATCTGGATGCTTGCAACCTCAGTCATTTTAACTTCCATTGCCAAGATAAGATTTTCACATGCAGCTGCATTGCTCTGAGATACAAAGCAGACAGGAAACCAAAAAAAATTCTCTCATCTAACACCTCTATGCAAAAAAGTCTCTTGACAAAGACTTGTCAACAGAACTTCTATCACGCTAACTTGTATGAGTTCAACATGCAATCATATAATATCATTTACTACGGGCACATAAAATGTCAGCATATGCTGTATCTTCAAGTGATGAGTGCTCCAAGTCCCCTTTCTAGTCCCTCCCCTGGCTTGCCCTGTAACCAAAAAGGTATCTGTTCCCATCCCACTCACAAAGCCCACACACCATAGCCACCTCTTAGCTACCTAGCTCACTTCCACTTTCATTCCACGGATTTGAAATTATCACTGTCTGATTCTTTCCATCTTCCAGGCAGATTTTTGACAGCAAGTTCAACTTCATGGGAAATGACAGCAAGTTGCTTCAATGTACAGCACCTTTCAGCCTGTCCCTCCCATCAAAAAGCCATCTTGAAGTCAAAGTAAACTGTCAAGCGGCAGATGGGCAAGAGCTGAACCTTTTTTGTGCTAGACAGAGGGTGAAATTGCTTTCAAACTGGTGATGATTTCTGGCACCTATGGCATTTGCTTCTCAAAGCTACTGTACATGTATATATATACAAGTGCAACCTCCTTTAGGTTTATTTAGATGCAGCTTTTTAGTGACCATGATAACTTCACTGTTAAGTTACCAAGGTGCTTTTTTTTTTTTTTTCCTTTTTCTTCTCCCTCCACAATAAGGAAGAGGTCAGTTCTGAGGAAGGCTTTTTGATGGGAGGGACAGAGTAAACGTGGTAAACACCAAAGCAATTTGATGGTGTTTCGCATGAAGCTGAACTTGCTGACAAAAATCCAGCATCTTGATTACATATACAGAATAAAAACTGGGCAACATGCTTTCCAAGTGAAATTTCATGCTAAAAATAAAATCCAGTATCTGCAAAGTCTTTATTTCAGTCAATAAGCTGGTCTATGACCTACGAAGTATTCAACTACCAAAGAGGTTATCTGTGAGGCTTTTATTATCATGCGAGATTGCTCTGATAGCAACTCTTCCAAGAGTGTTTCCTGCCAAGTGATGTCACTCATCCCTGCTTAACTATTCTCTATGAGAGATTTTCAAAGCCAAACAAAACTAGATCCTGCTAGAACACAGAAGAACATTCTTTTAATTCACGAGGCTTGTCTGTCACCCAACTATTTCTCGAGGCAGGCTAAGAGCAAAGTTTCTCACAGCTACCAAGAAATGAAGAAGAGCTATTTATGCAAATGGCTGCAGCTACATTATGTCTTAATACGCAGACATCTCTCCTGAAGGATCTTTCCCACAGCTGTCCCTTCAGGGCAGCGGCTGGGCGCTCCCGCGCCGTCTCGGAGCAGTCCCGATCTG